CCAGAACTAGAAGACAAACAGAACCGAGACAGGTCTGACGGAGGTTTCTTCTGAGGCGGAACTAGGTGGAAATTCGGTGAGTCGTGTTGCTTTACGGCTGCCTGTGAACGAACGGATGTGAATTGTATTTCAAGAGGTAACAAATCTCGGGTTGCATTTAGTTCGGAAAGAACGGTCTGGTCTTGACTTTCCCGTTAGGTTTGAATAAGGATTAGGATAACGATTCTCTGTGTGCGACAAAACCGACAATGCACACGTTCTTATTTGATCCGGCCGGTCCGGAAAAGTGTCATCGTGTGTGGGGAAAGTGTCCGTGAGCTGCCGTGAGACGAAATGTACTTTACGGCAGTGCCTGCTTTGGCCGGTAGAGGGCGGTGGCCGCCATTACGCTAATGGCGGCCACCATTAGCGTAGAAAAACGGGCCTCGTTTAGCTCCTTTAACTGCTCAAAAGTGCTCTACAGCCAAGTCCATAAACGCTATTTTAACATAACACCACTGATAAAAACAAGTGAACACATGTCAATGACGAAATTGATAAAATAAATAATACAGATAAAAGTATGCTGAGATATCGGTGTAATTCACAATTAGCTAACTAAAAGTTTACGACAAAGTATTAGGGTACGATGGAATATTAGGCCTACATAAAAAAAACACATTTTTCTGGAATTACTAAAATGTTTTAAAAATGTGGCCCTAATATTCCATTGTAGTTTTCAACTGTACTTGTTTTTTAAAAAAGCGTATTCTTTTTTTTGTGTGTGTATTTTCATTAGAGGCTGTGTCCTCGCAAAAGTTGGAGGCTAACGCCTACTGGGCCATAACAGGACTTCTTCCCATGATTCTTGTTGATTTTAAAAACGCGGCCTGACGCTGATAGATGAACCAACACAGAGGTTCAGCCGGGTATGGGGTAAACCCCCCATTGCCGTGTAGTTTTTTGGGCCATTGCCTGAAAGGAGTGGTCACCTGGAGTGGGAATCTTGCCCACCTGGGAGTACGAGCAGGTGAAGGAAAATGAATCAAATCGGATGTGAAGGACATGTGCAGCGGTTTGAGCTTTAAAATGAGGGCCGATGTTTCCAAATGAACTGTAAAAATAGACTGGAAGCCAGCACAAGGCCGAAAAAGACACAATTGTGATCACTAACAAGCACGTCGGCTACATCTGCACATCTTAACCCTTCCCGAAAAATCCGAATATCACAGAAAAGTAGTTTGATTTCACAATCCCTTTTTAAAAGTTCCTGTTTTCATGGGTTTTGTGAGCCGGAAGCCCAAATAATGTAACATTAAATGAACAATAAACATTTAAAACCGTTTAAACTGTGGGCCCTGAATCTATAATCTGTGAAAATTGAACTTTTTGAATGGAATTATGGATATCAAACAACTTTTCCATGATATCCAGATTTTTTGGAAAGGGTCTGTAGATGAGTGAAGTAAACGGAAACGTTTTTAATTCACCTCATAGGAGGTTCACATATGCAGAACATTCTAGGTGGGTCCTTGTTTTGGATCAGAATGAGGGCTAACTGTGGAGCTGGCTTTGTTTTACGGCACTTTAGTTAGACACAAAGAATGACGGAAGAAAAAAGACTAAGTTCTCTCTGTATTCCACATCCTTCATCCACCTGTTGTGATATTTGAACGTCAAATGGGCTGCTAAAGTGGACTCTTTCTTTCCCTCGTGATGTCGTGACCTTGCAAACATGCAGCACCAGTTCTAACCCAGTTGGAGACACCATTTTGGATTAAAAAACCAGCAGGAACAGCCGGGTTCTCACTACAGCTCCATGACTGTAACACCATGGAAGGAAACAAAGCCACATGCAACATAGTTGTCCACTGTCCAGCGTTTATTTAGTGCCATAACGCAGCTTTTGCGTTTGATTGGTGGTTCCTTCTGAGACGCGTTGCGCCCTGTGATCGGTCAGTAACGTAAATCTCTGTTTGTGTTCTCAGATGCAATGTCTGTACTGAGGACTTTGTGTCGGTCCTCAGCCGAGCAGCTTCTCAGGCCGTTCTCGACCAAAAGCTTACCCACTCTCACTCTGTTCACCAAGGTAACGTCATCGTAAAACCTCAGGCGCCTCCACACCCCTAACACCCCAAAGAAACACCGGAGTTTGACATGACACAGTGGTATTATTCCAACAGAGAATGGGAAAAAGACTCATTCAGGGCTCATTCATGCTCAACATTAAACCAGGCACATGGTCGCCTATATTTGGTACTTTTTCACCCAAACAGAGCAGACCCAAACCAAACCATGGGGCCAGTGGCGATCGGTATAGTTCTGACAAACAAGAGGAAGACCAAACAGAAACAATGTTGCATTTAATGGCTGCTTGGACCAGCTGCCTTCTTATATCTTAAGATGCATTATCATGAGCTCCTCCTCCATCCATTTTGTCAGAAAAGCCGATGTCAGATCTTAGAAATAAACTCTGACCCCTGCACTGCCCCTCTGGAGGAAGTGGTGCCTAACAAACAAGCACACATAGCACCGTTAGGGCAGGGATCCTTGACGCCGTTTGAAATGGATACTCCTATTTACTGATAGAAAGGGAGCATGAATGAGACCCCAAAAGCAATGTGACTTTTGAAGTGCTAAGGATTAAGTCGTGCTGGCAGAGTGGGCTTGTATAAAGGCACATTACAGATGCCGTGTGTCTCTGTAGGATCCCTGTCCTCTGTGTGATGAAGCAAAGGAAGTGCTGGAGCCACTCAAGCACAGGGTGAGACCAAACACACTCACCAATCGCATACTTTTCAGTTCGGTTTGAAATAAGCGATTCCAGATCGCAACTAATGTCATCGCTAGGCACTTAAGTGATACAGTCTAGTTAGAATCAGTATTAAAAGGATAACCCAGTTGATTAAATTCCATACAGAGCCAGTTACATAAAAGTTTGCTAGGCGCTGAATCGTCTATTTGATCCAGTGCCCATTCTGAGTGCATACAAGGTGTCTGTGAAACAAACCTCCATAAGAGCTGGCAAGAAACCCCAGTCAGAACCAGAACCAGGAAGAGACCACTCTCACCGTGGCCATCTTTGTGGCCCGGCTGGACGCTGAGAGGACAGCAAAGAATAGCCAACCTTCACCAGGACACCAGCCCAGAGAAACCTGCTGAGAGACAGAAACAAGTTAAAGACATCAAAAATGTCACATAAACATGGAGAGGAGAGGTGCATCATGGTAGCCCCCCCAGCAGTCTTGGCCTATAGAGGGAGGAGAGGTGCAACATGAGAGCCCCCCCAGCAGAACTTAGACTGGTTCTACACAGAGGAGGGGTCTGCTTCCTGAACCCAGACTGGTTCCAATGAAGAGAAGCTGAAACTGGAGGAATCTGATATCTGCTGCTGGTTCTCAACAGATCTCTAGCTGCAGCTTTTTTGTATCAACTAGAGGCTTTTTACAGAGATTTTGGTCAGAGCAATAATAAAGAGTTACAGCCTATCCTAGATAGATTCATAGATTGGTATAACTGTGTATCATCAGCATAGCAGTGCAAATTGATGACATACTGTCTAATAATGTCACCTAATGGAGGCAGGTATGAAAGGAAAATAACTGGTCCAAACACAGAACCTAGAGGAACTCCAGGACTTAATTTCCATGGACAAACTGGAATCTGTCAGATAAACATGACTGAAACCATCTATAGGACAGTCCCTTTAATCCCAACAACATGTTGGAGCCTCTGTAACAGAATTCTGTGATCGACTGTATCAGAATAAGCTCTGAGACCTAACAGAACCAACACAGACTCCAGTCCACTACCAGAGGAGATCATCTGTAACTTCAGCAGAGCTGTTGATCCTGACAAAATCCTGACTGGAACTCTTCAAGTACGCAATTCTACGTGTAGACGATCACAAAGCTGAGCTGCTACAGTTTTCTCAACAACTTTAGAAATGAAGGGGAGATTTAAAGAAACCCAAGGATCAAGAAGAGGTTTTTATGTAGAGATTTCATTCCATTAACCTTAAATCTGTGCTACACAGAATATCAACAAAGAAAGATTAATCAAACTCAACACTATAGTGTCAATTTAGGGATTTCCTTTAAAAAGCGAAAGATATGAGAACTATTTTTTAGCAGGGTTTTTTGTGTATACATATAGTCATTGAGAGAGCTGATTTCCATTTCCTCTCAGTTCAATGTGTCGGTCTTCAGGGCACTGCCTCAGAGTGGACTGTCTTTCTTTGTTTGTCCTCCAGTTTGTCCTGCAGCAAGTGGACATCAGTCTTCCAGAGAACAAGCTGTGGTGGGACAGGTACAAGTGGGACATACCTGTGTTCCATCTGAACGGACAGTTTCTCATGAAACACAGGGTGAACCTCGGCCTGCTGGAAAAACTGCTACAGGACATTGAGAAGCAGCAGACGTGATGACCATCACTTCATTGTCTGTTTCCCTCCATTGTCAATAAACAGAAGTGATCATTGAACATTCAGTCACTTTGTCTTCTTTAAGAGTCTGGTTCGATCCAGCCGGTCAGAATAGAGTGTATCAGTGTATCTGAGCTTGGTGAATCCTGAACACAAACGGGTCTGCTTCAACAAGAACCTTCCTGAGTGAATCACACGACCCAAAAGTGTGGGATCAGTCACGATCTGAGCTGTTTGAATGCTGTGAACACCAACCAAAGGAGCTCCAGTTCTTCCACTGTCGCCTCCTTTATGAAATGCTGGAACCTCCATAAAATGAAAGGCGATAGCTCTGTCCCACATATTCTGTCATGTTTGTAACTGGTGTAGACTGATATGAGGACAGGTGGGGGAGCAGCCTCTAATAACAATGAACTTCTTATTTCTTCTCCTTTATACAATTTGAATATAGATCTATTTTCTGTAATTAACAACCACTGTCTGTTGGACACTGCGATCTGGTTCCATTAGATAAATAAATGCAATAATACTTGTGTAGTATTTACTGCACTGCGGTGTATCCCACTATCTATGATGATTTCCTCTGAGGTCAGGGCACAGAGCTAAAAGAGGATGGTGGGCAGTAGTTTAGCTAGCAGCGCCAGTGGCTCGGTCACATGAGCGCAGGTGAGTCACCTGATCCTGTGAGCTCATCAATATTCAATCGGCCGATTGAGCGGAGTTGTTGTCACGGACGTGGTGGGGAGCTGAAGTTGGGATGGCATCGAGACGATTCAGCAGCCGATCCGTGGATGTTCAGTTAGCTCTGCAGAGAGCCAAGAGGAAAATCTGCGAGCTGCAGCAACAACTTAAGTAAGACTCCAGAGAGGCACCCGGTTATCTGTCCGTCCGGGGTTCTGTCTTTGACCTGAGGCATGGGTCAGAGGTACGAATCAACATTCAAGACTGGAACGCATAGTGGCGATGAATGATTGAAAGTTGGGTCCGTGCTGCTGGAATCAGATGAATTAAAGCGTGCTTTAAAAGGTTCTGGTGTGTTGGGTAGTAGGTTGTGGCTGGAGTGGGTCAGCAGCGGTCTGTGGCCCTGAATGGGATGGCGTGTGATGCAGTGTAAGCAGCTGGAACCATGTGACCAAATGCCATGTGATCCATGGTCTAAGAAAAGACCCGCTCCGTTGAACATAGCACTGCATGCACTGATCTGGTGAGTTGTGTCAGTTTAACTAGTCTGTCCGGTAATGGAACCAGTTTGACCTGTGACCGTCTGTATGGGGCTGAGTTTCTTTCCTAACACTGCTGCCCCACCTCGCACCGTGTTGCTGGGCTGTTGGGCCAAAGGTGTGTGCTACATGTTCGGGTCTTTAGGGAAACTACGGCATGTGACTGGAGGGGGTGTCATGACAGCACGTCCTATGATCTAACGTGAACCTGTGACAGCAGAAGTATGTGCGTGTTGAAGGACTCGACGGCGTGGCCGATAGTGATCCTAATTCCAACACGTGTGTTTTGTTTTTTAGAAAAGCCAGTTTGGAAAGTCCAGAGGCAAGTGGATTATCCTCATGGACCCTCAACAAGGAGCTCCAGGACTCTTTGGTGGACATGTACAGAGGTAAAACACAGCAAAGAATAGCACAGCCTATAAACAGGGGTACTACTGTCCCTCATTCACCCAATCTGGTGGTTTCAACAGCCAGAACGCAGCAAGGTCTGTCATCGGAGTAAAGAACTCTGGTCAGAGTACAGAACTAAACAACAGACTGCAGAACCCTCTCATATCTCGGGGGGCGCAGGTGTAATGAGTCTTTTGGTCCACCTGGAGGTGCTGATCTCCTTTCCACAGCCCAGCAGCAGCGCCGAGCTGCCGGAGCCGTTTTCAGCCGTTTTCCCTGTTGTTGCCGGTAGGCCTGCATTTGGGTCTACATCACAGCAACTCGAGACTGACGCCTGAATGCACCCACACAACCTGTGAGGGAGACTATCGGTGGTTATCGGTGGACTTCTCTATGACTCTGTGCTGTGCATCAGTGTAAAGTTAAAAGGTTTCCATTTAATGCAGAAACTGCATAATTGTGGATGAAATTGAGGAAGAATGAAGCCAAAAATATGGTTCGAATAGGACTGCTGAATGTCTTTGTTATACTACTTTACATTATACTGAAATAGGGAAAGTACAGACTTAGAGAGTAAAGCTAAACCGGTGATAGTCCAAAGACGTACAGTCCAAAACTTGGCTCTGGAAGGAGTCTGACTGTAAAAACATCGACAGAAGCACTGAGCTAAGTCGTGGAAGTGATTGATTGTTTTAAAAAGCACTTGGCGCTGGGTGGAATTGGTTGTTCTGGTGTTCCCTGACAGCAGGACGGAGACTGTCCCCAATAATCTGCTGTGCAAATGTGTCTTGAGGACATCTTCATATTAGGACTCTGACTTTGTGCTTGATCACACATGATGGCGGTGAAGTGTCGGGCTTAGATCCTGAATGTTAACACAGAGGAGAGGAGGCCCGCTGAGATCTGGTGATCGCGTTACTATGGCTACAGTCGTTATCCGGTGACTGATGAGGAGCAGCGACGCGGCTCTGTTCATGTTGGACTGCGAAGGAGTAGATTCACTTGCTCATTCACCCAAACATATCGGGCCTTTGAGGCGGGACCTGCTGCCCGACGCGCTAAACACACAAATAAACACACAAATAACTGCTCATTCGTTTTTTTTTTTTCAACTACTTGGCTGGTTCAAGTTCACCGTTGACTCAGAAGTTGACGATATTCTTCTTTTGACAGTTTAATGAGAAAAAATACAAGACACTACAGCAGCCAATCGGTTGAACATAAAACAGGAGAGAGGAATGAAACACAACTAAAAATCTCACATAGTTACATGTCGGCATTTGTTGTTTCACTTTCCAAATTAAAAGCACTTCCTAAATCCTGTTTCCTCTGTCATTTATATTCTCGGGGAAAGAGTGTGTGAGAGGGTGAATGACATGTAGCGCAAAGCTCTTTGATTGGTCACTTGGACTGGAAAAGCACCACATAACCACAAGTCCATTTGCCATTTCCTACCTTTGTTATTGTTATTATTTTTACAACAATGGTTCCAGCTCTGACCAAGGCCTAATACGGATTGTTTTCTATATGCTTGCCCTTCTTAGGAAGTAAATGCTTCAGAATGAACCCGGTTGGAGTCACATTAACTCGCTCTACACCCTGAACCATTAACTTCAGAGACTGGCTGAATTATTGAGTAATGCTGGATGAATTTCAGGTGGTCTTCCTCATGTAATACAACAATATCGGAGGCAGCTTAGTCTATTGACAAGACACGGTGAAAATGAGAAGGACCCACCACACTGTACTTTCTTTGTTAGTAATGTTCAGATAAATTCAGATAGACAGGATAGAAACGCCTATGCTTTCAACGCAAGTAGAGAACATGAAAAACAGAGTGTCTTTACAAATTTTCATTTCAATCCCATTTTTTAATCAACCGGATTAAAAGAAAAGACGATTGACTGAAGGAGAAGTGTGGTCGAAGCTAGAGGAGTTCGCCCGCAGGTAATTCTTCTGTTCCAGTCAGCAGAATATAAGATCCTCGCTTAAAAGTGAAGGAGACCGTCCCTGAGAAAGAAGTTTACTTAATCGAATGTGTTGGAGTAGTTGTGTAGGACTTTCTGAGGTCACTGACTGGCTGAGTTTGGCTGATGTTCATGTGCATTCATCCTTAAAACCCAAACCCCCGAATGATAATTTGGGTTTGAAACTAAAATCTCTAAGATAAATTAGACTGCAGCGGACATTGTGAGATACGGAAGGATGGGAATGCTCTTCAAGAAAAATGTGAAATTCAGAAGATTGGTTGCTCAAGTATTCCTCAGCTTGTCTGGGTTTCTCTTGTAATGGAGGTGTTTGCCGCGTTTGGACGTTGCTATTATGACAGGTTTTCACCCTTTTGATGATTCTGTGAGGAACTGGGTCGTAGCGATCTTTTTCACAATATGACCGCATATGTCAATGTGGTCACTACTGTGAGAGCTCCGTCTTCTGTTTTCAGACAGCTCCGCCTGTTTGGATGCATGGATGTTTTTCAAATCAAAAAGGTACCGTGCTGTCTGTTTGCCCCGACCTGTGGCGTATTCATGAGTTTGCAGGGCGTAGAGCAGCATAAGGAGATTCTGCATCACGCCATTAGAATTAGAGTAGCGTTGGAAAGTTTAATAACAGGTGTATAACCCCCGTGCACTGTGGTCAAAAGCTTTGGATTGATGACAGAAGAAGAGGGGAAAAGACTGCGCGGGGCTGGAGTGAATGAAGAGAGAGGAGGAGACAGTTGTGTGAATAGTGTTTAATCTGCTGAGTGGGTGGTCTACACACACAAACACACTCTCAGTGCATTGTTAGATGAGGGTGGGCTGTTGGCTCTGGTTTGTTTGAACATACAAATAGCTGGTGTTCTCTGTGCAGGAATGTTTGTGTTTGCGGGCTTTGTGAGGATAAATGTAAGTCAGAAACTACTGTGAACATTGCTGCATTGTTAGGATTTTTTTTTTTTTTTTTTTCCTGCTGATGTGAACCGAGAAGAAAACTGATCTGGTTTAGCACAGTCACACGGTGACATCACTGCGCACACGATGACATCATCACACCC